TTCCTGGATAACTGTCATGCACATCTTCCTGTGGAAGAGCTCATTAATGGCAATTTTTTTTATGTTATCTTCCAGCTAGGATCACAAGTCTGATCCAACCAATGGATCAGAGAGTGATACAGAATGTACAAATGTTTTACAGGTGTGACTTCATGCAGGCAATACTGAACTTTCAGAAAAAACAAATAGAATCTCAAAGATGCAATCTACACTGTCAGTTGTGCTTGAGATTCCATGAGAAGTGAAACATTGCAGAAATGTTGGAGAAAGTTCTGGCCAGCTGTGATGTCTGTGGAATTGCCCTCCTATGTCAACTTTGAGGCGTTTCCAGTCAATAGTGCAGCTGCCAATAGCAGAGTTTATTATGAAATCTGTGAGTCTGTTGACTCTGCTCATGACAAAACGAATTTGTCTCGAGATGAACTTGATGACTAGCTTGATGTGGATGAAGCTATTCCAGTAACTCATAGTCTAAACACAGAAGAATCATAGAAGCTATTGTGAATCGTGGAAAAATGAATGTTGCAGAGGAAGAAAACAGTGATGACAGACGTGAGGTGGAAAAAGTTCCTGGCAGAGAGCTACTGAAGCATTTGAAACGGTGATAGCTTTTGCAGAACAGCAGCCTTTCTTCATTTCCCAGCATGTTATGCAGCTGCACATCATGCAAAACCTGACTTCATGCATGAGAGGTCTAGGGCCTCAAAGCAAGCTGATATTCATTGATTTTTCAAGAAAGCTGTGCACAAGTTTGCCAGTACAGCATCATCTACTGATGTATGTCCAAAACCATCCATATCCACTTCTCTGATTCTTTCCCAGCTACATATCAGATCCTGATGCAATGTCTACCCAGTAAACTCTCCACTCCTACTATAACAATTAAGTGTGCATATTTGTGTGTTTTTTCTAAGTTACTTTAAGATTAAAAAATTATGTTAGTGAAGTTCATTGTCAAAAAATTTATTGACTGCTATTTAACTAAAAGTGCACACTGCATTCACAAAGCTGTTTTTATAATAAAACTGTGCTAAATGAAGTTTGTCTTAATTTGCTTTTAATTACTGTATTTCAATATTAATATCAAGTCAATACAGAGTGTATGGTATGGTATGGGGTATAGTATTCATTTGGTCTATTTTTAATAGTAACTCTCAAGCAACCAGGAACTACATCTATCTGACATCTACCAGTCCCCTACATCTATGGGTGCTCGTTAACTGAGAGTCTGCTGTATAAAATTACATTCCTAAATTCATATTTTGTTGTCCTACTGTGCTGTCAAACAGTCTTTGGAGGTCTTCTGCTTGTACTCAGTTACTTGGGTGAACTACTTGTCATTTGACTAGCCCAGGCCTCCACAGCTTGCCCTTGTATGACTGACTAGCCCCATCTGTGAGATCATTTCATGGTGGTAACTACAGTAGTTTTCCATATTCTTCAATGTGCCTAATGTCTAACCAAGGCTGGAAACCCCAATCTATAACGTCTATATTCAGCAAACAAATCAGTCTTAGACTACAATCCTATCCTGTTTCCTGAGAGTAAGAACCATGGAGTGCAATTAGACTTGCTTCTAAATGGACATGTTGTGCTGACAATATTTCCAAGTGTAAGAATCACCATGGTAGATAAACAATTCATGGCATACAAAAAAAAGTATGCATGGAGTTAATATGTCCCAGAAATCTGGAGATGTGTAAATTGAATGAGGTTTTACAATGTTTTTAAATTCAAGTGAGTCAGAATTTCAACTCTCTTCCACAGAATGGTCTATTCCAATAGAATATCTGTTTGTGGCATGAAAACAATATTTAAAAGAAACTTTATATTTTCTTCTGACGCTGAGACCAGAATGGATCTCCAGATTATTTCATGTACAGTTTGCGCAACATAGATTTATATTAGATTAGAAATATAATCCAGCAATTTCATTTTTGGCATGACATTCCTTTGTCTTCTCACTTGAGGAAGAAAAACTTGCTTTTAAATTTTTTATTACGGCAGCACCCTATGAACAACAAGTGCTTAGCTACCACACTGTTATTCTATTTGAGAGGATATACATCCCCAGCTCAACAGAACCACAAGAACTGACCTGACATAAATAATAGCTATTACTAGCACACTAATTATCTAGTTTAAGGCATTCTACTTTATGGCCAAACAGCAGTCGTCTTCAATACATTTTGTGTTGGGAGAGTCTCCTGGTAGCTAATCATACCGGTAGCATGCTTCCTACCCACCAGGGGGCAAATAATAGCTTGGGAAGGTTGTGCGATCAGGAAACCAGGCAGAAAGGAAAATTTCAGAAACGTATTTCCAGCAACACTGCCCCCTTTCAAATGCACAAAATCCCAAAACTTTTAATTTAAAAAAACTCTTTAAAATATATTTATTTGTGAGGTGTTCTTAAACCTCCCTTTGACTAGTGTTTTGTAGTCAGAATTAGTTTAAGTTGATCATAAGAGTGTTCTGCTGTCCGCATTACACGAGTAATCACCTATTTAACTGCTGCATTCATTATCAGTACATGTTATGCTTTGTCTCCAGGCACACACATCTACTCACAATGTGGGACCTGTTGCATATCATGCATGACTTACAAGTGTAATTATCTATGTAATTATCTTTATTTGAACTTTACCTTTAAAACCATAGTTTGCATTTACACTTGACCTGATAACTTCAATATCATTTACTCCCATGGGTGAATCAGCCATCACAGATTAGCCACCTACAGACAGTTTTACATAACCCAGAACAGTCTTTCCCAACCTGGTGCTCTCCAAATGTTTGGGATTTCAATTCCCATCAGTCCTAGACAGCATGGTCAATCAGAAACAGGTGTCCTGAAGCATCTGGAGGGCACCAGGCTGTGGAAGTCTGTCCAAGGAAGTAATGCTTTCCAATGGAGAAACTCAGGAGTGAGTGCTTTAACAATAAGGTATTGGAACACATAATAGCAAATGGCCATAAACCTGGTGACTATAAGACTTCATTGATCAGATCCATAGAGGTTCCTCACATTCCTCTTGAATCTTACTGACATTATTTAGGTTCTATTTTGGGAATTCAGGGTTATTAGGGACAAGCCCTACAGGCTTACAGAATGGGAATCTTAGATATGGCTCAACAGCATGTCTTTCTCACTGTTACTATTGGAGTAGAAGGCAGAGGTCCTGGATTCTGATATGAGTGCTATGGGAACCAAATTTTGGCAGAGCTACAAAATAGAAGACCAGTGTGGAGTTGGGTATTTCTAATGGCTCTGTGCCCAAGGTGTATTCTGATAACACCATAGCAATGTAAGTTCCCTAAATTTATTCCTGCACTGGTTTTACTACATCAATTGTGTTTTTATACCAAACCTTGGGAAGGCTCCTGCTCTAAAAGAAGGCCTAGAAATATTTTAAATAAGTAATAAAACTGCAGCAATTGCCCCCAAGGCAAAACTGAATGCTTCAGTGCAGTAGAAGAAACTGTAATGTAATGAATCTGTTCTCTCCACTTGCTATCTACAAATATAGACCTGAATTTCTAGTTTTGAAGGAAAGGGTGGAAGAAATGCAGCATAACAGAAGAATTTCTTCAATGGGCCATATTCCGTTCTCTGTTTTTCACACAGAAGTAGGGAGATTCTTCTTGGAACCTTCTTTATGCTGAAACTTTTTATTTAGAACACAGAGAGAATGAATTTTGCTTGTATACTTCAGATATTTTTGTAAATTTCTGATCAATTTTTCTTATTTTGGAAGATTTTTTTCCTCCCTTAGCAGAGCTGCTTCTTGCTAGCTTTGTGTAAAAATTACTCCAGCTGGTGGACAGCTTTGAATCAATCCAATTTCTTAGGTTTCCCTTCCTTCCTTTCTGATTTCCATTTTTTTTTTTTTATTAAAGCCATACTACAAGTCTTGAATGCAGGAATCACTATTTCGTGTTCTTTCACTTACGTTGTTCTACATTGCATTTCCCATTCAGTCACTTATCATAGTTCTTTGAAATTTATGCCCTGTCTTCTTCAATTCAAGTACACCTTTATCTTGCAGACCTGATTCTTGATGTACTGGGTTTTATTATTTTTATTATATTGCACGTGCAAATCACCATGGGACCTCCCTGACAGCACACCCTCCTACAAATGGGAACAAATAAAGAAGGATCTATTCTGAAGTCATACAAGGCTCAACTTATTACATGCATAAAGGAAAGCCAGTGTGGTGCATGGGACTGGGGCTCAGGCGATCAAGGTTCTAGTTTCAATCAGCCATGGAGGCAACTGCGTGATTTTGAGGCAGTCACAGTCTGTCAGTCCAACCTACCTCATAAGACTGTTGTTGAGGGGATAACATTGAGAGAAACAGGAGAATTATGTAAACCACTTTGAGTACTTTGTTCAAAAAAGGAGGGATATAAATCCAGTAATAAGTGAAGACTCAATCTATGCACAGACGTGACTTGCGCGCATCTTCTCTCCTCCCCCTCCACACGTACAGTTGACGGAGTCGCACTGCCCCCTCCCCGCTTCCTCATGAAAGCGGCGCAGAATAAGGGATAAAGTGCTGGCGATGTAGCTTCGCCCTCCCGGCCCTACAAGAACAAAAACTGGTGAAAAATGAGCTGCGACGGCGTTGAAGAAAAGCCCCCGAGCCGGTAAACCGAACTGTAGCAGCCGCGTGGTAACCCAGCAGGCACAAAAACAAGCGCGCTAGGAGCACGTGCGCAAAGGCAACTAGCAGCTGCCTCCGAGGGCTGCCGCCGTCCTCGCCAAGGGACGCTCCCGGGCACTCCGTCGAGTTGGGGAAACTCACAAACAGCCCCACCACCCGGCCCCTCTGAGCCCCGACCCGATATGCTCCGAGTCGGACTCGGCAGGGACTCATCTCCACTTCGGCGGGGGCTCCCACATCTTCCGCAGCTAGAAATGCCCCGACCCATTTCCCCGAAGCAACCAGTCTCCCACCCGACCCAACCCGCTGAGGGTGCAGGGCCTTTCCTACCTCGCTGACGATGGTGGAGAGGTAGGGGTCTTGGCTGTACTCCCAGCCGTCCAGGCACTTCTCCTGCTCCACCTGGCTGAGGTTGACGTCGCGGCCGGGCTGCAGGCCGGCGGCAGAGAAGTTGAGCAGGGCCTCGAGGCGGTAGCGGCGGCAGCGGCTGGGCACCTGCCGCCCATCGCGCACCTCTAGCGGGATGCTGGCGTTGAGCCACTCGGCGCTCAGGTTGGCGCCGGCCGGCACCCGGCAACGGTGCTCGGGGGTGCCGGCCAAGAAGACGGCGGACATGCCGTTGAAGCCATTGGGGACGATGCTGGCGCTGAGCAGGAAGAAGATGAGGCGCTGGAAGGGGCCCCACTCGCCCAGGAAGGCGATGATATCGTCGTAATCCCGCATAGCGACGGCAGCGGCGGACACAAAGAGGCTCGGATCGAAGTACACAACGTCTTCATTCGGCGTGTATCTATTCGGCGATGGCAGCCGCGCTGCCCCTTCCTGACTGGCTCTGCCATGCCTCGGAGGTGGGCTTTCTCCCTGCTGGACTCCGCCTTTCCCGCGCACACCCTCTTGCGTGAGCACCGCCCCGCCCGAGATAACCTTCGCTGCCCGAGGTGAGAGCGGCTTCCCGCTGCCCGAGGATGTTGCCTGCACCGGACCCGCCCAAGGCGTCCTAGCATTAACGTCCGGTGCCCTGGGCGGGAAACCAATCTCCGGGCGGGCAGACGCGGCGTGAGCGACTGCGATAGCGGGACTCGAGAAAAGCGAGCGCCGCGGGGCGTGTGGGCTACTCCTTGCGAAGGAAAAGCGTTGACGACGTAGGAGCATCATATTCACACCGAGTCAGCTTATGAATTCTTCTAGCCCAATTCTGGGAAGGGAGCAGTTGTCCAGGGTTTGAGGCAGGGATATTTCTAGCTTTATCTGAAGGAGATTTATGCTTAGAACCTCTTGTGTTTTGTTGTTACATGCAGCGTGTGATCTCCGATCTAGGGCAGCTGCATCTGTAAGGTCAGTTAGGTAAGGCAGCTGGAGCACCAGGACCGAGGTGGAATTGTAGGAGAGCTAGACCCAAAGGCAGGAACAAGAAAGAGTTCCAGATCCAGCATATCCAAAGGTGGAGCTAGGAATGAGCAAGTTCAAGAACCGGCAAGAGTCATGCCCCAACAGGAAGCAAAGGCAGGTGGGGCCAGACCAGGGGCAAGAGTACCTAGGTGTCCAGGCACAGTTGAAAGCAAGACCAAGTAGCTGTTTTGAGACCTGTATTTCTGTAGCTAAGCAGAGCAGTACAAGCGGGCCTGTTCCAGGGCTTTGCAAGTACCTGTTCCAACCCTTGCAAGTACTTAAAGGTGTGCTCCTCATTCTGCAGGGTGAACCTTGCTGCTCATCAGCAAGGGAGTTTCAGAATCTGACACTGTGTAAGTGCCCTTCTAAATGCCCTGTCTTTGACAGCTCTTGTAAATACCTGCTTATGAGGGATCAAATTCTCCCCATTTCTGCAAAATGCATTTATTAGGGCACATGCTAATGAGTAAACACAGTGGAAGATGCGAAATTGTGTCTCACAATTGCGTTCAGGGAAATGGCTCTTTAAAATTCATGTATTTTTAGCTCAGTTATGTAAAAGACTGGAAGTTTTTTGTTTTTGTTTTTAAGGAAAAAAGAATTGACAGGTCTTCTTTCCTCTTCTGGAAAAAAAAAAAAAATCATGAGGGGTGCTGCTTGCTTCTGTCCTCCCAGTGCTACAGGGTGAAGCTAGTGAGATCAGCATGCACATTCTCCTCCACCCGAAAGCAAGCACACAAGTGCAGCCCCTCTCCCATGTAGTCTTTCCCACAAGTTAGTTCCACTGAAGTCAATGTGATTTACTTGTATGGCCATCAAAGATCATTGTTTTACTTCTGAATGCACTTGTGTTTCAGCTAGTTGTTTGTTTCTCTTTAGTTATGAAATGATATATTTTTGTTTATTGTTGAATGTTTTAATGATATTTATATTATTAAACTGTTATTTATGTTGTTATTTTTATCTTCTGTAAGCCGTCCTGAGGCTGTTGCAAAGGACTGCATAGAAATGTTTTAATTAAATTCAAAATTAAAGTAAATGAGGACAAAGGAAGACTTGTCCTCTTTCAATTTAATTCAAAGGAAGACCCCACACACATTTTTTTTCCTCTAAAGGACAAGACAGAGAAGAAGGAAAGCAGCGTAGCATTTTCATGTCAGAGTAAGAGAGAAAGGTGGGAAAGCAACAGAAAGATCTACAAGTCACTGCCTTTTTGCTGAAGCCTGGATAAGACACTTCCTCTTTCTCAACCCACTGAAACCACTCTTTCTGGCCCCATAACAGTACCACATGTTTAGCATACACTGATATACAAATGAGGAGGGGGGACACACATGACATATTAAAAAGGTGTGATATTACTTGTCTGAAAAGATCTGGGACATAACAGCGGAAATGAGTTGTCATCTGACACACTGGTGAGCCAGACTTTACAATGCCGATAAAAATGTCTAGTGTATTGCCCCCTGGAAATGCCAAGGGCTGAACCCAGGATCTGCGACATACAAAGCACGTGTTCTGCAACTAAGCCACATCCTGTTCTGTCACTCTCTTCCAAAAGACAAAAATGGTTTCTGTGAAATACTTATGTATGAGCAGATTTGTTTATTTTTATTTACTTAAAACCTTTTTTTCACATCTTCTATCCCTTCAGGATTGATTGATTGATTGATTGATTTAGAGGACTTCTATGCCGCCCCATTTGCTGAAGCCTCGGGGCAGCTCACAATCATAAATAAATAACATAATATAAAACAATAAAATTTAGCAGTAAATTTAGCAGGATCTCTAGATGGCTTACAAAAGTAAACCATGACACCACTTGAATAAGCTACAGTATAGAAAAATATACAGTAAAAACAAGTCTGACCATTAAAATACAAGGAAAGGGTTGTCTGCCGCATTTCAAATACATTCTTGAAAAGAATTAACTGTTTCACACCACCAACGTTGTCACTGAAAACACTCAAGTTGAATATACCTGAGAGTGTGCAGAGTTATTTTCTGTTAACAGGAGCAAAGGATTTTTTTTTAGGACTTTTCAACAGAGTGCTGTTGAGCATCTGCAGAGTGTATCTGCATCTGATTGTCCTGAGGATGGCCAAGCCTGCTATGGAGTCTGATACCCTGCTCCTCAAGAAACATGGCTATCCTGTAAGTGCTGCTGTGGTTAGGAGTGAGGTGGCTAAGTACTTCTAGCACACTAGCAACTGAGTAGGGAAGGTTAAGTGTGGTTCTGTGCTGGCTTGCTCATTTGTACTTTGTGCTAAAAATGTGTGTCGCCAGCTTTGTGAGTGTTTCCAAAGGGCAGATGATACTCGGGGCCCTTCCAAAGGAAGTGAGGCAGGTGGCTACCACAAGGAGGGCCTCTTATGTTGTGGCACTCTGGTTTTGGAATGAACTTCTCAGAGAGGTTTGCCTGACCCCTATTTTGTATTCTTTTTGACACCAGGAGATGACCTTTTAATTTCCCCAGTATTTTAATACTTTAACTATTTAACTTTGTTTTTATATATTCCATTTTATTGCGTACTGTTGCAGTGCTTCTGTGCTGAATCATAGCAATAGCTATTATGGTTTTATTCTTTTTAATGTTTGTCTTTTTTAAACATTTAATTTATATGTTAAATTGCCCAGGAAGCCTCAGCTATTGGGCAGTATAAAAATGAAATAAATAAATTTGACAACAATATGTCCATATATTCGTTGTTACAGCATGTAAGATTTGACACACGCAATGTATTAAATTCAACATTATTTAACCTGCAGTTCTGACTCATACAACAAAAAGTATTATCCAGAATGCACTGGCTTTCCACAATAACTTCCCTGCAATTCAAATTGTTGGAGATATGCAGACTTAATGCTACCCTGACCCAGATGTGTCACTGTAAAATTCAGGTACTGTTTATGTCTATGTCTACTGTTTATGTGTGTGAATCATGTGCAATTTTTACTTTTTTTTTTTTTGGTAGCATCCCCATTTCCACTGGTGAGTTAGGCCACAGGTGAAGCAGCAGACAGTCCAGCTGCCATCTCCCCCTTGCCTGGCCTGCCCAGCAGCTGCTGAGTTGCTGCAGCAGGGAGCTGATTAGTGGTCTCCACACGCCCTTTCTTCCCTTCTCCAATGCCCTGCTGCCTCACCTTGCCACCTCACCTCACCACAAGGCCCCTGTAACCAGGTGGCCTTTTGAAGATAATGACTATTATGTTCTTCAGCTTACAGTAAAATAAAACTTGCCACGTTTCTGACAAAGATTTCCTTGGCTTGGCAGAATGGTTTTCCCTCTCCAGTAGCAGCAGAGGTATAGTTCTTGTGTTATTAACATGTGAGAAGTCTGAAGCTAGTCCCTACCCATCTTCGGTTTAACAATGGGTGTGCTCACACCTAACACTGAACCATGCTGTGTAGTTACTGCATGGCATAGTATCTCAACTGCTGCATGGTAACTACTCATGGGTAGTTTCCACAAGCCTCCATCTTCTCTCCAAAGGACTGCAATTATCCCATCAGCCCCTGCAGCCCCTGCATTCCTAGGAATTCAAATACTCACTCTGTAAACTTGGGCTGAATAATGCTGTTGACGCTGACAACATTTCTCAAATTATGTTTTGAGGGGGAGCAAAGCTATGAAAGGAATATCAAACTCAGCTGTTGGTAGCACTGAAGCTCAGTGCAAGTGATAAATGCAAAGCTTACTTTCCAGTAGGCATAAGCACGGGTTTAGAAAGTGGCTAAACAGGTATAAAAGAGAAGCCTCTATTGAAATCACTAGGCCAGATTGAAAGTGAGGTGAGAGGGGCATCCCTTATGGCTGGGCACGCTTATGCCTGGGCACAGGGTGTGGCATCAGCTCCTGCAGAGCAACTGTCCTACTCTCATGAGCAGATGGTGGCTGTGTGGAGCAGCAGGGGGGAAAAAAAACAGGCGTAGCCAGCCAAGAACATGCCCAGGCAAGCATTTGGCCAGAGGGGGGAGAGGCAGCCACAGGGAATGATGGGATAATTGCAGAGAGTCATACTAGTGGAAAAAGGGACATTGGGGTAAATAGGAAAAATACTGCACACTTATTTTTAGTATGCTCTCTCTATATGCACACACATGAAATTTCATTACTCTGGGAGTCTATTACGTGCAACTTAAAATATTAAAATACTTAAAAGTAATGGCATTAAATTTGTAGTTAATTGTTAAAACAAATGATACTTTAAAATTGAATTTACATCATAGCATCATAAGCAAGCCAAGTTTTATATAATAGATTTTACTTTCTATTTTATATCTCTTAAATATCTGCATCATCCTAGAAGACAGAAGGAAAATGAAGCATTAGAGTCAATTTACATTCTTCCTCTTGGTTGCAATGAAGTTTAGAGAAATCTGGTCACTGCCACCTAAAGTTCATATAGTGATAAAGCCTGAAAGGAAACTCTTCTTGTATAGCACTCAGATGTCAATTCTGCAGTCAATGAAAGTAGATGCACTAGATCATGGGTCCTCAAACTATGGCCTGCGGGATGGATCT